TTTTTTTTTTTTGATATGCTGTTGAATTCTGTTGGTTAGAATTTCATTGAGAATTTTTGCGTCTATATTTAAGAGGGATATATTGGTCTGTGATTTTCTTTTTTTGTGCTTTCTTTGCCTGGCTTTGGTATCAGGGTTATACTGGATTCATAGAATGAATTAGGGAGTATTCCTTCCTTTTTTATGCTCTGGAATAGTTTGAATAGAATTGGTGTCAACTCTTGTCTGAGCATTTGGTAGAAATTTCTAGTAAAGCCATCTGCCTGAGGCTGTTTTTGTTGAGAGGTTCTTTTTTTTTTTATGATACCTTCAATTTCTTCTTTTGTTATGGGTCTGTTCAGATAGTCTCCCTCTATCTGTGTTAGTATAGGTAGGTAGTGTCTTTCTAGAAATTTGTCCATTTCCTCTAGTTTTTTATATTTGTTGGAGTACAGTTTTTCATAATACTCTGTTATGATCCCTTTATCTCATTTGGTTCTGTTACAGTGTTATCCATTTCATTTATTTTGGTTATTCATATCTTCTCGTTTTTTTCATTTTTCAGTTTGGCGAGTGGTTGTCAAATTTATAAACTCTCAAAAAACCTACTTCTTGTCTTGTTGATTCTTTCTGTTGTTTTTCTGTTTTATTTATTTCTGCTCTGATGTTTATTATTTCCTTTCTTCTGGTAACTGTGGTCTTCTTTTGCTCTTCCTTTTGTATTTGTTCACGTTGTCGGGTTAAGTTATTGATTTTGGACCATTCTTCTGTTTGGATGTATGCATTTATTGCTATAAATTTTCCTCTGAGCACTGCTTTTGCTGTGTCCCAAAGGTTTTGGTGTGTAGTGTTTTCATTTTCTTTTGGTTCTAACTATTTTTTAATTTTTTCTATGGCCCAAGAGTTGTTAATTAATGTGTTATTTAGTTGCCATGTATTTAACTTTTTCCCTTGTTCTTCCTGTTACTAATTTCTAGTTTTAGCTTCTAAACTATTTTTAAATGATATTTTATTCTACTTGTTTGGGTAGAAGAATAATGGTGCCATTTAGGAATTCTCATGCTTTTACATGCAACCAACTGGAATAATTGGTGTTTCTATGAAGGTGAAGCAATTGTTAGTAAAGTTGTATTCTGATGTTTGAGCTAGCAAGTGGTATGGAAATGTCTGTAGATAGTTATTAGAGACAACGCCTTTTTTAATATGGTTGATGGAGCTCTTAGTGACTGAGCTGTGATGATCCTGCTTGATGTCAGAAGAGCAAAACTGTGTACTGCTAATCATTGAAACCTTTTTGTATTCTGGTGCTGAACACTTACTTAAAAATAATAAACACGTGTTTTTTTCTAGGACTATAGAGTTAACATCTTTCTGAGACAAAAATGGAATGATCCCAGGCTGAAGCTCCCTAGTGATTTTAGGGGCTCAGATGCACTGACAGTGGATCCCACAATGTACAAGTGTCTGTGGAAACCTGATTTATTTTTTGCAAATGAAAAAAGTGCCAATTTTCATGACGTAACCCAGGAAAATATCCTCCTCTTTATTTTTCGGGATGGAGATGTCCTTGTTAGCATGAGGTACACTTATGTTTTCCTTTTAAAATCTGTAGATCACAGAGAGGTATTTAAAATGATTTCTAACACCCCCGTTTCTACTTTCAGGTTATCTATTACTCTTTCCTGCCCTTTGGACTTGACCTTGTTTCCCATGGACACACAACGTTGCAAGATGCAACTAGAGAGCTGTATGTAAATGAGCTTATAAGTGACTGTGGAAATAAAAATGCTTAAAATTTCTAGGCAATACATTCTACCAGTATCTTAGACAACAATGGTAAAACTAGTGCATTTAATTACCAATAGTCATTAGAATAATTTTTTTAGGGAAATTATGGTTATTCTTTTACTATCTTGCTTTGTGTTAAAATAGACAAAGCAAGTACTAGTCTTTGATTTCAATTCAGTTGATGTAAGTGTACAGTTCTAACGTATTTGTAACTGCCATCCTCATTTGAATTAGTAATACAGGCAAGGTAAAGGAGAATATGATACCCTAAATGAAGTAATTTTTATGATGCTAAAAATCACAGTTTCCTAGTAGAAAATTTGAAAAATATCCTCTATATCCTACCAAGCAGTGATTTTCTTTGGATATTTACAAAAATTTTTTTTACAAAATTTCATTTTTTATGTTTTTATGATTACATATTTTTAGTTTATAAAAGATGTACTAGATTACTGATTTTAACTATTTATCTGTAAAACAGATATACAAATTAATTTGCTGTGATGCTTATCTTTTGAAAATAGAGTAGGAAACAACCTTTGAAAAATTAACACCAGTGTTATAAGGGATCTTTAGCCTGAATATCTATATATCATGATGTAAGTCTGCAAACACTAAGGAATAATATCTTGTAAAATGTCTTGCTAGATGGTATACTTTGTTACTTAGTGGTTATTTGTTGTTTTTCAAAACTTTGCTGAAATGGATCGTAAATTTTAACAGTAGTTATTGTTTTCTAACTGTAAAGTGAGAGGTTGCATAAATGTACGTGTACATGTTTGTGTGTGTATTGTATATATGTATACATGAGTGTTTGTAGATATGTACATAACATTCCAACATCTAATTCTATTACCAGATGCACTAAAGTATTGCTTTAAAAAATACACAGGAGAGTTGAACAGTAGACTCTTATATGCTGTAAAATCATATCAGATCATTGAATTGTAGCTATATTACCTAAGCAAAATGTGTGCTTCAGGATGCTGTAATGATGTGTATTTGAGGAATTGTTTTACTGCTCTTGTGTGGTAACGCAACTCCTGTGGAATAGTTATTTCTTCAGAATAGTCTTTAAAAATTGCTTCAAAAAATTTTAGATAGCATATTGCACTATTGTAAGTATATATGTTTGGAAAGCTAATCACTTGTTTGTGACTGTTTTAACGATAGTAATTTAGAATTTTGATAGAAAGAAATGGACTACTTCTGCATGTGATACCATAGCATTTTACCTATTTGAAATAAGCTGATTATTTTAACTTGCCCTTCTTTAAGACTATCATCTATAACTCCTGGTAATATTTTCATTAGTCACCATAGAATTTTACCTGTTAATATTTTCTCAGCAATGATTTCATATAAGGAGACCCTATTTTTTGTCATTTTGGCAAAGTTAATATTTGTATACTAAAATGTTAAGAAAGCATTTTAAAAATTACCTATTTTTTCAAACTAACATTTTTATTTATAAATTATTTTTATTTATAGTTGGTTACACAACTGATGATTTACGGTTCATCTGGCAGTCAGGGGATCCTGTTCAGTTAGAAAAAATTGCCTTGCCTCAATTTGATATTAAAAAGGAAGATATTGAATATGGCAACTGTACAAAATACTATAAAGGCACTGGTAAGTAATATTCTTTAAATTAAGCAAAGCTAAGTCCTATTTCAGATACTCATTTTTAATATTAATATATGCTAAGGGCAGAGTAAAAGAAAACTAATTAAAATAAGTTTGATATTTATAAGTAGTTGATATTTGCATTTATATATTTAAATCTTATAGAGTTAACATTCACTAACATTTTTTGAACTTCTCATCACTGGATAATTATGCTTTTTTTAATGTTATCCTGGTAGCAAGAGATTTTAATTTTTTTATTTTAGTAATGTGAGCTCTCCCAGGCATCTCCCAGGCCTTGTTAGATGTTGCCAAGAAAGTCTCCCTTTGGCAAGATTCAATTTGGGGTCAGACATTATAGATATGAGCAATGTAATCCATACATGTGTATCCAGAGGCTTTGGGGGAAGTTTTTAGATGGTGGTTGACCCATATGCTTAATTTCAAAAGCATTTATCTTTATGCTGTGCAGGAAACACTGAGTGTGAAGTAACTGATCATCAGTAAATATTCCTGTTACAAATCTTCTTGGCCTGTGTCAGAGAACAACCACTTCTGAAAAGCAGAACAAATTGATCTCATTCATTCAATTACATCAGACTTTTGCAGAAATGACAGCATAGTACTCGTTACTCAGTGCTATCATAATATGATTTGTATCAGCCTTTGACTCTTTACTAGTAGTGACAGGTTATCAAGCATCTTGAACATTAAATATAGTGTTATTTAATTTAGTAAAGTAAAGATTGAGTCCTGATCATTAATAATCAGTTCAACGTGTAAATTACTGCAATTCTGTATCATTGAAAGTAAATCATGACAAAGGTATTCAGGAATAGATACAGTTAAATTTAGGTTCAATGTAACATTTATGTTGACCTTGCAATGGTAAAAATGTAGTGTAATTGTATAGCATTTAGGAAGATGAGATTTCTGAACTGAAATGCTGCTATGGGGACATCATTAAGGGCTAAAATATAATTTAAAATATTCCTGTTGATATTAAAAATAAAAGATAGGCTGAATTTTTGGATATTTACAGTGACATAATAAAGGCAACACTAGGCAACTGGGGGATAAAATTAGTATAAGCATCTGTTGTGTTTGCCTTCAAATACATTAACAAATTATATATATATATCTATACACATTATATATATATATACACACACACACATTATAAGCTCTTCTTTCGTACAGCTTATAATTTATTAGGACAAGAGATAATAATCAAATACTCACAGGCTGGTAAAAGAATTCTCATCTTTTAAAAAATACAAACTGAGAGCTTTTAAAAATAAGACCGTCAGAGTTACTCAGTGAGGAAGTCGTGGCTACATACGTTGTTAGATATGGAGGTGATCTTATTTAATACCTAAAGTAACTGAGGCACAGGCTGACTGATGGGCTTATCGAATGTCACCAGGCAGGTTAGTGTTAGCCATGGGACCCGACTTAGGATTCTTCTCCCCGCATGCTCCTCACTCAAGAAGATTGACTACGGTTTTTAGGGATTTTTACAGCTCCCTTGGTAATGAAAAAAATAATCGTGAAACCAAGAACACTTCTTTTAGGATTGTTGTTTGGGAACACATATTCAGTAGATGACATTTTGAGAGCTCGCTATATGTTAGACATTCATTTAATAAGTGCTTTACAGGAATTGTGTCATTTGATCCTTATGGAAATCCTTTAAGTGCTTTCATTATCCCCATTTAATGAAGCAAAGAAACTAAGTAACTTAACCCAAGGCCGTACTGTTAACTAAGTTATGATACTGGAATAGTGAGTCTGAAACCAGAGATATGGCAGCACTGCCTGTGGACTCCTGTTAATGCTTTGAAAATAGTTAACCATATAAAGATTATATGCTTAACATTTAAAAATGAATCGCCTGTCAACTGATTTTAGAAATGTGTTAGAAACCCAACTGACGTTTTAGACTACATCTAGAGATGAAAGTAATTTTTGAAATTATTAAAACTTAGGAAAATAATTTATTTCATTTAGAGAAAAAAGTAATTTTATTTCTAATTTCACATAATAGCGTAAAATTATGTAGCACTGAAATTCCTGGAGGGTATTTATTTTTTTACTTTTAAGCCTGTGTTTTAGAAATGTCCAACTGGGGACACAGCAGTGACTAAAAGACAGGTCCCCGCCCTTTATAGAGCTATATTCTAGATTACTTGTGGTGAATAAGTAAACAAACAAAATGTATATAATTTATTTTAAGTCTAATAAAGAAATAAGAAGAAGTGTTGTGTTACAGAGTACTTAGGAGTTTACTCAAGAGTTATATAAAGTTTTCTTTCCCCCCAGTGGTATATTTTGGGTTATCATAAAAATCATTAATATCTCACTAGCTATAGACAATAACCAAAAAAAAAAAAAACTGTGAACATAATATTTATTGGGCATTTACTATGTTTCAGGTACTTTATTGGCATTTAGATGAATCATCATGTGAATATAAGTAAACGTTTTAATTTTTGGATAATACTTAGAAATCTAATTAGAAAATTTGGGCATTCAAAATATAGGGAATGCTTAACAATATAAAATAGTGGAGAAGGTATATAAAACCAGACAAACGAAACCCACTGCCATCGAGTTGATTCAGACACTCATAGTAACAAATGATGACCAACATTTTCTTTAATTCTATGGGAATAATGACTCACCTTAACTTTATTAAACATTATGCTTTTCTATGATGATGGAAATTGTAAAAGTGGAGAATGTATTTAAAAAAAAAAAAAACAAGTCTACAAAGATACTTAAATTGGGAACCTGAGTGAATAATAATGAAATAAAACCTCACAGGAAATAGAAAGTAAATTGAATTTACCCAATGAACATTTATATCAATTAGCTGCCCACCTGTCTCTCATAAATGTAACAGTACTAGGGAGACATCAAAAAAGATCAAGAAATGTTTCTCATAAAAGTTTATAGAGAAAATCACTATAATAGTCAAGCATGTATTTTACTGCTGAATGCATCGAGGTCTCCCAAAGCTCCCCTAGTGGGTACCCCCATAAAAGGGAAGTGTTTGAAAGCTGCCTTGGAACACAGGACTCACGTTGTTTAGGCTGTCGCTTACACGTCATGGGATGGATATAAATATTCAGTGTAACGTGAGCAACTTGATGGTAATTCTTATAATACTTGTCACAGCTGAGGCTACCTAGAAATACAGAACTTTTTTAGGAGCGCTTACATAGTGTTCTCCATGTCATATGCACTATGCTGATCTGATAATGTAAAATTAACTTGTGTAAGTGATCCTATTCATAAGCCAAGTATTTCAGAACCACTTTTAGGAAACACTGTGAACTTGTTCATTGCGGCGGTTGGAGTTTGAAAGACTGTATTTTGGAAATATTGCACATGACTGTTCGTTACAAACACACCTTCTTGTTTGTCCAGACAGGAAATTAAGATGATTGGCAGGGAGCAGAAAAAAAGACAAAAGTTTTTCATTTTTTTGTCCTTTACCTTTAAAAAACTTTTCAGTGATTTAAATGAATTATGTAGTTTTGATTAAACTAAAATAAAAATGACAAACTCCTTACGTTTCTTGTTTTTTATATAATATGGATGTATGTGGCATAATTTGAAATATACTTCAGTTCAAATCAGTTAATTTTTTTTTGTTACTTATTAGCCCTAATATTTTTCTAATCTATTAGAGGTAGCTATGATTATAATACACGTTGGAAAAGAGTGAACTTCTAATCTTATTTGATGAGAGGATGTGAATAACCATTCATTTATTCAGCGTTTACCGAGACATTGCTGTGTGCAAGTACTGCCTAGGTATCATTTATGAATAAATGTTAAGATTAGTCTAGTGTCAAAAGCATGTATGTATATTCTTCACAATAAGGAAGAATAAGTAAATACTACTTTTAACCTATAAGATAATAAGAAAGTAATATTGCCTTCTTCTCCATAATTATTTTTCTACTGGGCGTTGAACCATTCATTTATTTGTTTCAACATCTTTTAAATAATTATATACAGTTCAATCTGAACACAAGGGAAGATATTTTAACTTTCTGATATTTATGGATTATCTTATATTTTTAAAATGACATTCTTATCTAAATTAAACATTTTAGGCATTAAAATTTGTATTTAAATTGCTGATGAAAAGGACCTGCACCCTTCAACACCGATCTCAAACCTCTGGAAATGGCTCTTGCGTAACGAGTGCTATGAGAATATTTGTGTCACTCACTTCATATCTCAAGTCAGCAAAGGCTATCGTGAAGCTTTCCATAATTTGTGATTACTTTCAAAATGTGTTTATCTCCATGGGAACAAGTTGATGCCTTGGCAGCTCTCGAATTCTGTTCTAAAGCAATTTCTGCCTTGCCTTAGGTTGTGCAAATGGAAGTCCTTTCCCTCGTTGTTCCCCAATTAAAGTACATGAAAGGCCTGGAGCGGGGGAGGGAGGGAACTGAGGAATGTCAGATGTTGGCACTGTAAAATCTTTTATCTAAATAGAACGAACATACTTACCTTTTATCCTCGCTCATGTTTACTTCGGCACTTCTTAAAAATTTTAAGGTCTAAATATACTTATGAGATATTGTAGCCTGCCCTTCTTTATAGATAACAAGTGTGGTTGAAGAATTCAGCTGGCGATGCGCAGTCCCGTAGTGTTCCTTTTAGACTTGCTCCTGTTTGATTTACTGGCCTCTCTGTGAATCCTTAGATGGTTTTCCCGGAGAGTACCCACGGGTAATGAGAAGTCTAAGTCTGTTGCAAAATCCCTGAACAAAGACATAGGAACCCAGACACTGACATGGCGGAGCAGCATGTGGTAGCTATTTCTGGGTGTCACGATGAAGCTGTGAAAGGTCAGGGAAGCAGGCTTATATAAATTATGTATATTTAAGGGATAACCTTTTTTTTCCTCTCTCTTTTCTCTTTTTCTGGCGGAGTTTATTTCGTGAAATTGCCTCAAAGAGAAGTGACTTACAGTTTCCAGGTACATTATTGACTGTGAAAATGTCCGTGGGTTTGGACCTCATCCCATGCCTGTGTTTGGTTTTCAAAGGCTATTACACGTGTGTAGAAGTCATCTTCACCCTGCGGAGACAGGTTGGCTTTTACATGATGGGCGTCTATGCGCCGACCCTGCTGATTGTGGTCCTCTCTTGGCTTTCCTTCTGGATCAACCCCGACGCCAGCGCTGCCAGAGTGCCCCTAGGTAAAGACTTGGATGTCCCTCTCTCACCTCAGCAATGTTGTATCCTTGGCCCGTATGGGAGCCCTGGTGGTGCAGTGGTTAAGAACCCGGATGCTAACCCAAAGGTCGGCAGTTCGAATCCACCAGCCGCTCATTGGAAACCCTATGGGGCGGTTCTACTCTGTCCCCTAAAGTCAGTGCGAATCGGAATTGACTCCACGGCAACGGTTTTTTTTTTTTGGCTTGTATAATCAGTTATGGTGCAGGACCGGGCAGCGTTTCAGTTCTGCTGTGCGAGGGGTTGCCATGAGTCAGACAGAGCCCACTGGAAGTCAGCTAACATATGATTAATTACTTTGAAACAGCGAATTTTGAAATGGATGCTATCCTCTTCTGTTTTAGGCTTTCTTCAAAACTTGACACTAAACAAGATTTTCTCAATGTTTATCCACTCTATAATTAAGTAACATTTTTCTTCTTGTGTCCTCAGGGTATTTTAAATCTTTGCACCTAATTTATCCTACCTTTTCTGTCATGAAATAATTATTAGTAAGTGATTTTCACAGATAAAGTGTAAAATTTCCAGTAGTGCCAAAGTTAAAAACAAATAATGATTTTGATGAAGATTTTTCTAAATAATATTATATTACTACCCTATGTTCCTGAATAATTTATCTTTTAAAAAACTTACTTAGATAATTGTCTTAAACATCAGCTGTTGTGTGTTATATCATCAGGGGTGGAGAGAGTGCTGGTTGTCCTGCCCCTCTCCTGTTAATGCCCAAGCTCTCCAGTTGGGTTATTTTTAATGCTCTGTGGCATAGAAATACCATCAGACCTTTTTTTTTGAAAATTGTCTTTGTAAGAGTTAAATGGTCTTTGCTTGAGGATATAATAAAGAGACCTCTTATACGGATAAAGTGAATGGACTTCAAAATAAGAACACTGTGACAATAAATTTTGATAGGAATTTCAGATATTTTATTACTGTGTGTGTGTGTGTGTGTTTGAATGTGTGTGTTTTCTGAATATCACCTGGAACTCATATAGGTAAGGCTGTGATATATCTGACCTCTGCATGAGTGATTGGTTGCTGAATTTTATTTTTTTCTTCCATCAAAAAGGCTTTGTGCAAATCCCCCCGCCCCCAGACCTATTAGAGGGGTTTAATGAAACACAGCTTTTAAAGCATTGGGAACTAGGAAAGAAGTATGAAGAGAATTTTATCTGAATAAGAAATGGAGTAGTTTACACCTAATAACAATCACAAAGAACAAATCTCTGTCTGCGTGGAAAAGTCGGATTTCCACTTCTCACACCAAACTGTGTTGTTTAATCCAAATCAGTCCCTTGTCACTTCTGTCCCCTCTGTTCTGACACCAGCTGCACACACAGCGTCACTCCTTCCTCTGATGTTAACCTCCCCAGGAGGTCAGATCTCACAAGTTATGGGGCTCGGTCCTCCAGGCTGCCATAACTGCCCAAGACTTCAGACACCAGCTGCAAGCTTGGGAATTCCCACAACGCCCTCACTTCTGACCTTCTAGCTACAAATCTGGGGTCTTCTGACTACCCCCTCAGAATACCAGCCATGAGCTAGGGAGTCCCTTGCCCCTTCTCACTTCTGACCTGCCAGCCCCCTCTACTCCCTCAGGTTTCTCAACCTAGTAGAATGACTCACAGAACTCATGAGAAGCATTATACTTTGATTATATTATGATTACTGGTTTTATTATAAAGAATAAAAACCAGGATCAGCATAAACAAGAGATGCACAGGGCGAGGTCTGGGTGGGTTCCCAATAGGGAGCTTCTTTGTCCCAAAGAGAGTATGTCAACCTCCTGAGAACAGATCCCTTTCATCAACCAGGAAGCCCTTGTTACTTTTGTGTCCAGAGCCTTTACTGGGGCCTCATTGCATAGGTATACTTGATGGAATCATGGCTAGCCTCTCCACCACCACCCCCTCAAACTGGGCTTATATCAGGAGATGGGCTTTCTGGCCTGGCCACCTTCACCCAAGAGTCATCTCATTAGCATAAACTATCTGGTGTGGCCCATAGATAACAAAAACCAAAAAAGCAAACCCACTGCCATCAAGTCAGTTCCAACTCATAGTAACCACATTGAGTTTCTGAGGCTATAAATCTCTACAGAAGCAGACTGCTGCATCTTTCTTCTGTGGGACCCCTGGTGGTTTCGAACCACCAGCCTTTCGGTTAGCAGTTGATCACTTTAACCACTGCACCGCCAAGGCTCCTTCAGTTACTCAGCAAATTTCAAGAGTTTAGCGCTGTCTCTCAGGCACCAGGGAAAAGACCAAATTACTTTATGTAAAGTACTTCTTTACCCTGCGAAGCCTGATTAGAATGGCTTTAATAGAGAACAAGAGGGGAAGAACTATAGCCCTCTTACTGGAGATTTTTAGTTGTAAAAAGAAAAAGAGAATAGAGAAGTAGCTGGGATGAGAAGAGGGATTGATACTTTGTTTTTGCTTTTGTTTTTTTAAGGTGGCCAAAAATCACAGCATGATTATTTTTTTTGATGACAATTAACTAGCAGTGAAGAAAATAAGTCAGAAAAGGGGGAGAAGAATAGGGACAGTATCCTGGAGTCAGTAAGAGGGGATGAAATCCAGACAGTGGAGATTTCAGAGTGGAGATAACAGAGTGCTCCTTTGTTAGGAGCACAGTGGGTTTGTCCCATGGTCAGCGTGTGCCTTCTGTAAAGGCCAGATGGTAAATATTTGTTTGGTGGGCCATATGGTTTTTGTCACATCTACTCAATTCTGCTGTTATAGCACTAAAACAGTTACAGACAGTATGCAATGGAACAGGTATGGATGTGATCCAATAAAACTTTATAAAAACAGGTAGTGAACAAGACTGGCCTACAGGCCATAGTTTGTTGACCTCTAGGCTGTGGAATAGGGGCACAGACAGGGTAAATGGGTAGATATGGTGGTGTGGGCTTGTAATTTTTTTTTCCTCAATAAAATAGCAAGTAAGGTCATGCGTTTCAAGTGAGATAGGGTAGAGTTTTGTGGTTTGGAAGAGAGAAAAATTAGTGAATGGACAAAGGAAATGCACCATGATGGCATGGCAGAATTATGGACTTCTTGAAGTTAGTGGTTATAAATTTAAAGTGATACCAGTCGTCATGGTGGCATGTTTTTCTCTAGCCACACTCATTAAAAGAAAGCTAGAGAATAGAGGCATATTTATGTTTTTTTTTTGTTTATCCATGTTTTTGCATGTATTACTTAGTTCTGTATTGCTGAGTAGTGTTTCATAGTATGATACTCCACGGTTTGTTTCCATTGAACAATTAATGGACATTTGGATCATTTCCATATTTTAGGTATTATAAATAATGTTATGAATATTTGTGTACAAGTCTTATGCGGATATATGTTTTCATTTAAAAACAAAACCAAAAAACAGATGTTGAGTTGATTCTGACTCATGGCAACCCCATGTGTGCCAGAGTAGAACTGTGCTCCATAGGGTTTCAGTGGCTGGTTTTTCAGATGTAGATCTCCATGTCTTTCTTCTGAGGCACTCTGGGTGAACTTGAACCTCCAACCTTTTGGTTAGCAGCCAACTGTGTTAACCATGTGGATCACCCAGGGACTCCATGTTTCCAGTACTTTTTGGTAATACCTAGGAATGATATTTTTGGGTTGTATGGCAAAGTCTGTTTTATTTTTATAAAATACACCCATTTCTCACTTACCAACATGGTTAGGTTCCAAAGACTAGATCATTATGTGAAAATCGGCATTATGTGAAAATGGAGGATGATCATATCAGGTCACACAATAGAGGATGACTACATCATTACATAACCTCCAACTTACATCATTACATAATTGCCAAATTACATTATTACAAAACTGCCAAACCACTGAGAATCATGGCCCATCCAAGGATTGACACATAACCTTAACCATCACAGCCAGCGTTACTCTCGCCTCACACCTCAGCATTCGTTACTGCCAGACGTATGTTGTTAGTGTGCAAAATAGTTGGATAGTAGATTTTTCTTACTGTTGTCATAAATGTGAGACATTGGGTAATGATATAGTTGATAAATGAGGAGTGGGTATACTGCCTTAGTGCTTATCAAAATGTTGGTACCATTTGCATTCCTATCGCTTGTTTCACATCCTCATCAACCCTTAGTTTTCTTGTCTTATTGCAATGGCTAGGACCCCTAATGCAGGGTCAAATAGAATTGTTGAAAGATGCCTTATTCTTGATTGTAGGTGGAAATAGTTGAACCATTTGCTGTTGAGTGCGATGATAGTTACAGAATTTTTTGTAGATGTTTCCATCAGATTTAGGAGGTCCCCTTCTATTCCTAGTTTGCTGAGGGTTAATATTGCAGGTGAGTGTTGAATTTTGTCAGTTGCTTTTCCTGCATGTATTTAAATGGTTATATGAGCATCCCTCTTTATTTTGTTAATATAGTAAATTATACTGATTGATTTCCAGATGTTAATCTAACCTTGTGTTCCTTGAATAAACTCCAGTTGGTCATAATATCTTTTTTATATATTGTTGGATTTGATATTCTAAAATTTTGTTCAGGGTTTTGTGTGTGTGTGTGTGTTTATGAAGGATGTTAGTATGTAGTTTTCTGGTGCAGTCTTTGTCTGATTTTGGTTTCAAGATGATAGTGACCTCATAAAATGAGAATGTTATTAGCACAAGATCATGCATAATGTTCCCTTTTCCTTTTAATATCTGACTGTAGTTACATCAGAAACCCTGATTGCGTAGTGGTTAAGAGCTGCAGCTGCTAACCCAAAGGTCAGCAGTTCAAATCCACCACGTGCTTCTCGGAAACCATATGGGACAGTTCTACTCTGTACTATAAGGTTGCTATGAGTTGGAATCGACTCAATGACAACAAGTTTGGTTTTTGGTTTTAGTAGTTATAGGCACTCTTTCACTGCTAATATTACCTTGTGAATTCTATCTTTTCAATTTTATTTATATTTTTAAAGCACTAGTTTTGATTTCATTGATTTTCTTTATTTGGTAATTTTCTTTTTCATTGATTTTAGCTTTTGTCCTTTTTACTTCTTTTATTTAGCTTGAATTTGCTTTGCTCTTATTTTTTCAATTGCTTAAGGTGGAAATTCAGATAATTGATTTTAGATCTTTCTTCTTTTCAAGTATGAACATTTTAAGTTACAATTTTTTCTGTAAGTGCTACTTTAGCTGCAGTGTACAAATTTTGATATATTTTCATCACATTTTAGTCACAAATTCTTTCTAACTTCCCTTGTGATTTCTTCTTTGACCTATTGATAGTTCAGAAATATGTAGACATATTTCCAAATATTTAGGGTTTTCCGAGGTATCTGAATATTATTGCTTTCTAATTTAATTCAGTTATTGTTAGAGAAAATACTCTAGTGTTTTCTTCTTGTGTAGAACCTGTATGAATCCTTATATATTTATTGAGACTGTTTTTTTAATGACCCAGCATATGGTTATTCCTGGTATGCACACTTGCAAATAATGTGCAGTTTGTCATTGTTAGATGACAATTGATGACAAATGAGATCTGTAAATATCATTCTGAGTCAAATTGGTTCATGCTGTTGTTGAAATTTTTTATGTCTTTGCTAATTCTTTTGTCTAGTTATTTGAGTTATTGGAGAGAGAGGTTTTACAATCTCCAGTTATAATCTATTCCTCCTTTTAATTCTGTCAATTTTTGCTTCAGTTATTTTGAAACTCTGTTATTGTATACATATGTATGTATAATTTCACCTAAAAAGAAATTATTTTGGCTCTTATTAAATTTTAGGATATCCAGTTGAAATAGCTGAGTCGACTCAACATTTTTCTTTTTTCTGCTTGTTGTTCCAAAGAATTAAAAGAAAAATCTGTTTGCCAATCTCTTTCTACCATGATGCATACTTTATAAAAGTTAGGAGAAATATGTGTAGCATACACTAATTATGTTAATTTTCCCTAGGTTTAATTTTATAAATTGGTTTTGTATCCTAGTTTTATTTTTCTGTCTTTTTTTAAATTTACTTTCTTCATTGTTAACAAACATCATACCTTCTTCTGTGAATTGTGGGTAAGGACTTTTGTCTTTAACTATTTCTCTAAGTTTTGGAAGTAATTCTACAAGTAAATAAAGATGTAACTTTTTGCAATGATTTAACTATACTGTAACACTCTTTTCTTCTTGTGCATAAAACATTTTAGTTGTTGTTAAAAGGAATAGAACTTTTTTTACAAATAGCTTTCAATAATGAATATAAAAAGATAAATAATTCAGGTCACAATTCATACTTAATAGTAGACCACACAGATCTGTCTTTCCTTTTATACTATTTCTTATCATCTAGATCAGTTGTTCAAAATGTTTTTTATTGTGAGGACCTCTTTGAAAAATTTCAAGAAGTGTTCATAGATTCTCACACAATAGTAGTTTTCCTTTTGGTATTCTTTGATTAAAAAGTTAAGAAATAACAACTTGGTAAAATAATTTAGTAGCACTTGTGTGAGAGAAATTATTTTGAGTTTACACAGTAGTTGATGTGTACACACGTACAATTTCTCCTTGACCTGCTTTCCTGGTTAAGAACAAATGCCATATTATTCCTATCTTGCATTTCTTTTCCTTTCCCTCCCGCTTTCTTTTCTTCTTTCTTCTTCTCTTTTTTTAAATTTCTTGATCTTCACAGAAGAGTTCCTCCTTTGGTAATACATTGCTAGCATATATGCTCTTAAGGAATTATTTTGCAGACTCTTCCTCTGTGATTAGCTGAACATGCAATCTCTGGGCATTCCATTGTCAGCAACAGAGTTCATGGTATATACTGACCTCTTGGATAACTAAAACAATTGTATCTTATAAAATTATGTCTGCATATCGATGAGCTAAATAGCCTTCACTCTGACTTGTTTATAGAGGTTTTTGTTCAATTCAGCCGGTTCATATACCCAATTAATTAATGCTCTAGTTTATATTATTTGTTAGCTTTAACTTTTAATAAGTGTAGACTCCACATCTATTTGTAAATAGTTGGTATAAATTTTCTGAGGTTTTCTCTCATTTGAAATCTAGACTTAATTTATTTTTACACTAGGGAGGAAAAATTCTGATAAAGTCCATATATTTTAAACATGTCTTAGAAATACTATGTCAGGCAATCCTGGAATTTATTAAAGAGGAGCTGTGTTATTGGGAGTAATTTATTAGGAACATAATATTAAAATTATAAAAATCCACATTTTATAGATGATAGGTTTCACATTTCTTTTTATTGGTTTTTAATTTATTAAAATACAAACTGAATTTCACTGTGCATTAACAATGAAGTAATACCTTATGAAGTTCATGTTAAGCTATAGCTAAAACACTTGGTATTTGTCCAAAGAAATATTATTTGCTCAGATTTCTTATTTTAGGATAAAAAAGTGAATGGACATTTCCTATTGTAATAATATAGTTTCCTGAAGTTGGGGCACATAGTACAAGTTCACATTCTTTTCCTTCTTATTTTGTCTCCATTTCTATTTTTACATCTGTGAAAGGATAAAAATCTTAACAAAATTGACCAGCATGGTTTCGTAGTGCCTAGAATTATGAATACCTATTCACTCCCCACAAAACCTATGAAAGGGCAATCCCGTCATCTGTCCCTCTGTTCCCATTTATCTTACACCCGAGCATCTTTGCCTCTCCCTTTTCAGTGTGCCCTCCATCTGAATGATGCATTCAGTAAACTTTCCTCTTTCAAAGATCTTCCTAATTCTCAGGGGCATTGTGCTGTATCGTGATGATTGTTCTTTGTTTCTTGGCCTTTACCAGACCTTCCTCAGTGTTTTCATACCAAAGTCATCCTCTTTTCTATAGAACCCCCTGTTAGCATCTCTCAGGGGCATTTTCCAGTTATTCTGTTCAGAACTTTGATTCAATCTTTCCTTCTTGCCTTGAATCAGTAACAGAATCTTTTCTCCTCAGTCTTTTTGCATTGATCCTGTCATAATTAGGCCTTGATTTCCTTCTGTTTTCTTTCTTTAACTACTGTTTTCCTCCTCTCAGTATATTCTGTACGCCCCTACCCGAGTGATGCTAGTTTATCACTTCTAATAATGTCATTTCTCTCCAAATTTAAAGTTTCTTTACATTTTCTACCAAATATGGTATAAAATTCATTAAATCACTCCTAAGGCTCTCTTCTAACACTATTCTCCATTTCCAATTCAAATTTCAATATCAGGATAAATATTCAGCTTTACAGCTAAGTTTAATACAATTTGATACTTTCTATGTGGAGGCCTGGTGGTGCAATGATGAACTGGTCAGCTGCTAATCAAAAGGGCGACAATTCAAACCCACCAGTCACTCCGTGGGAGAAAGATATGGCAGTCTGCTTCCATACAAATTACAACCTTGGAAACCATATGGGACAGTTCTACTCTATCCTATAGGTCTATGAGTCAGAATCGACTCGACGGCAACTGGCTATGTTATCGTTAAGTATGAAATACTATGGGAACACAGAGAATGGTATCTATATATTCAATGTCAAGGAATTAAGTGTAAAGCTTGTGTTTGATTAGGATTCCCTGAGTAGTGCAGAAAGTTAATGTGCTCAGATGCTAACTGAAAGGTTGGAGTTGAGTCCACCTAGAGGTGCCTTGAAAGAAAAATCTGGTGATCTACTTCTGACAAATCAGCCACTGAAAACCCTGTGGAGCACAATTCTACTCTGATACACGTGAGGTCGCCATAAGTTACAATTAACTCAATGGCAGCTGGTGTCTGTGTGTGTGTGTGTGTGTGTGTGTGTGTGTGTGTGTTTGATTGATAGGTCGAAAAATTTGACTAAGAATAGAAAAATTGACTTGGAAAGATGCCCATAGGTGTAATTAATGGAAATTTAAGGCAAAAATTGATAACATTTTGGGTTTTTATGTTACTTTAGTACCTATTGTTTCATTTTGACGGCAGTGAGTTATTTCATCTACTGTTTCAGCTTTAAAGAGACCTGATGAATTATTTATGGTCCATTGAAAGTTACTGCAGAGAGAATTAGTCAAAGAGGAATGAATGCAGAAATAAATGTTCATGGGGTAAAATGCCACTTTTTTCCTTTTTCTGTCTCTATAGGTATCTTCTCAGTACTCAGTTTGGCCTCTGAGTGCACAACCCTTGCTGCTGAACTTCCCAAAGTATCGTACGTGAAGGCTCTTGATGTATGGCTTATTGCTTGTCTTCTCTTTGGGTTTGCTTCTCTGGTCGAGTATGCTGTTGTCCAGGTGATGTTGAACAATCCCAAAAGAGTTGAAGCAGAAAAAGCCAGAATCGCTAAGGCTGAGCAAGCAGATGGGAAAGGTGGAAATGCGGCTAAAAAGCACACTGTGAATGGCACAGGGACTCCTGTTCATATTAGCACTTTGCAGGTAAGAATGAAAATATCTAACTGTGTAATTCCCCACCTCTTCTCTGCAGTGTCAGGAAGGAGGCAGTTTTCCATGAGCGTAAGAGTTTAATCGAATTGGTATATCTGCTTATATCCCCTACTACTCTATCACTTATTTTCTCTCATAGATGAAGAGGAACTGAGCACCACATATTTTTGGACAAGGAATAGAAAACAGTAAATATACTTATTTCAAATACTACTTAGGAAAAAAAGTATTCAACACCTTATTACATTTCTTGATGACTTTCCTCTGAGTTTAAGGATACAGCTCTGCTTTGATGGTCAACATTGTAGGTGGAGATCTAGCCGTAACTACATATCTCCCTAGTCTTTCTCATCCGACAAGCCTTAGTGAAAGGCTAGAAAACTTCTGGGGAAGTACTGACTTCCTGCCCACACTGAAGGATGTGGGGGAGCCTATGCTCTTGATTAAATCACCCTCCTGTTCCCCACCAGTGTTGACAGCTGCACATTAATAGGATCACATGTAAGGCAGGCAACTTATTTATTGGATGCCTGGGTGAGAGGGAAACTAGGCTTATAATTAGGGTTCTGTCCATTCTGCAGGTGGGTGGCTGGAGAAGAATTTAATGGGGTTTCACCCCTGACCCTTCCTTTGCCACTTGATCGTGGGTCTAAGAATAGTTGATGATGCCTTTAGACTCAGCTAATGACAATCGCGGAGCAACAGGCTGCTTCCTGGACAAGTTCGCTGTCCACTTACCCATGAGTGCCCCTAATTGATGCCCTCTGATTGGGAAGACCAGTCAACCAGATGATCGTATTCATTGATCATATCCATAGTAAGTACCACAAGAGACCCAGAGGCCCATTTACCATGTTACAACCTTGAAAATATTGCCTGCTGTGCTTATATCCCTGTTCCCTACTGCTCTTTCAGTTTGCTGATCACCACCATTCCCTTATCTAGAATTCTACACAACTATAGCACGTGTGTTTTTAGATACAAATGTAAATGAACCGATCCTGTATGCTGATGCCTGGGGCCTTCTTTTCATTGTTCAGTCATTAATCTTGTTTTCTGAGTGTAAACCAGCCACCCTATTCAAATCCTTAGCTGCTGCCTTGTGGGAAGTTTGTTTAAGCCTTATACCTCTCTTGTACCCTACTGCAAGATATAAAATTTTCATTAACACAGAGCAGTCAGAGCCTTAAGGAGGTCAGGCTGGAAACTTCTCCATGTTAGCAGTGTTTCCAAACATTCCGGACAAGCTCTTTGGACTTCCAGTGTTCATAAAGCTAGACTTCTTTGCTGCAGGATGAGCAGCAGATTTTCAGCTGCTTCTCAGACAATTTCTGTAATTTTTGTCATGTATGGTTCTTCTGCTGTCTTCAGTTAATGGAAATATTCATCATTTTCCAAGTTTCCAGAGGGTTTTTCATCTGTCTGGATGACACCTTAAACTGTTTATCTGAACTGACAGCCTGTGAACCTCTGAGTCTGGTTTCCTGGGTGTCCGTAGCAGTAGCAGCCAAGAAATGGTGTTGCCGAGCCTGCGGGGGATGTTGCTGGGATGTCTGCTCGGTAGCCAGGGTGTTCGTGCTGTGCCTGGCGAGATGTTAACAGTTGTTGAGTAGGTTACCTCTGCGATGATCATGGGCATCTGGTGATGCCTGAGGTTTTCATGATATTATAGTTAACCAATCTTTAATTTTCTATTTCTATCTTTTCAATAAAAGACTTCAGGAAGGTGTAGAAGTTTCCTGGTCCCAGGCCTTCTGACTCTAGAGGATTGGTCAATCTTGCCTTGACTCTGGCTTGTACTGAAATGGCCCCTTCAGTCCTGTGGTAGAGGCTATCCTGTTGCAAAGGGGATCTTTTTTGTCTGAGTTTTCTTCTCCAGGGAGATGTCCCCATCAAGGGAAGTTATAATATATTGGAGTAAAATTACCAGTTCACAATGGCTTTGTTAGACGTGGGAAATGTATTTTAATGAGGTCCACAGCCTAAAACAACCAGTCTCAACCTGGATACTCAACCCAGTCCAGTCAAGACTTGCTACCTTCTTTCAGTGGTCTGAGTTCACTGTCTACTTCATGCCAGAAACTAGAGAACAGAGAGGATATATCCTAGGAAATTCTGCATTTGAAACCATGGAGCCCTGTCGGTTAAGGAGTCCTGGAGGCACAGTGGTTAAAGCGTTCGACTGCTAATGTGTCTATCCCTTGATCAGTATTACACAGCTTTTTCCTAACTGTTTTTAAATTATAAATATAGGTATATAGATATAGATTGATTTAGATTTACCAGTAACTACCAGTTCCCCCACCCCAGCCCCTAGTAACCACTAACCTACTTTTGCCTGTATGCATTAGCCTGTTCTAGATATTTCATATGAGCAGAGTCATATAATATTTGTCCTTTTGTGTCTGTCTTATTTCACTTAGCATAATGTTTTCAAGAGTCATCCATATAGTAGCGTATATCAGAATCTCATTCCTCTTTATGGATGAATACCGTATTTTTACACAAATAGTAAATGCCTCTACATTTGTTTGTCAACTGTGCCCTCCCCCATAAGGTATTTTCATAAGTATGCTATGCTAATGTTTTTACTGCAACATGTAAAAAAAATTGGCATAGCAGCACTTATGAAAATATCTTGCACGGGGGAGGGCGTCATTGGCAAACAAATGTAGAAGACACGCATTATTTACTTAAAATATGGTAAACCAAAACCAAACCCGTTGCCGTCGAGTTGATTCTGCCTCATAGTGACTCTATATGACGGAGTAGAACTGCCCCATAGAGTTTCCAGGACTGTAAATCTTAACGGAAGCAGACTGCCACATCTTTCGCCCATGGAGCAACTGGTGGGTTTCAACCACCAACCTTTTGGTTAGCCGCTGAGTGCTTTAACTGTTGCACCACTAGGGCTCCTTATGGATGAATAATGTATAGACACACACACACAAACACAATGCTGTTCCATTATATATATACACCACATTCATCTGTTGATGGACACCTGATTATTTTCACCTTTGGGCTATTGTGAATAATGCTGCTATGAACATCAGTGTGCGGATATCTGTTTGAGCCCTTCTTCAAGTCTTTTGTGTACATACCTAGGAGTAGAATTGCTGGATCGTATGGTAATTCTGTTTTCTATTTTAGTAAGCACCAAACTTTTCCACAGTGGATGCACCATTCTACATTCCCTCTACAATAGATGAGAGTTCCAATTTCTCCACATCCCTGCCAACACTTGTTTTTTTTTTATATATATATTTTATAATAGCCATCCTAATGAGTGTGAAGTGGTATCTTGTGGTTTTGACTTTCATTTCCCTAATGACTAACAGGAAACTCTGGTGGCATAGTGGTTAAGAGCTTGGCTGCTAACAAAAGGTCAGCAGTTCAAATCCACCAGGTGCTCCTTGGAAACCCTTTGGAGCAGTTCTCCTGTGTCCTATAGGGTCGCTATGAGTCAGAATAGACTTGACGGCAACAAAATTGTTTTTTGTGTTTTAATGACTAACGATGTTGAGTATTTTTTCAAGTGCTTAATGGCCATTTGTATACCTTTTTTAAAGAAATGTCTATTCATATATTTTGCTCATTTTAAAATGAAATTCTTGTCTTTTTGTTGTTGAGTAGTAGGAGTTCTTCATCTATTTTGAATATTAAACACTTATCTGATATATAGCTTCCGAACAATTCTCCCATTCTGTAGGTTGTCATTTCACTTACCTGATAATGCCCCTTGATGCACAAAACTTTTAGTTTTGATGAAGTCCAACTTACCTATTTTTTATTTTGTTACTTGTACTTTTGGTGTCATATCAAGTAATCCTTTGCCAAAAACAAGACTTAAATGTTTACGTCTGTTTTCTTCTAAGAGTTTTATGATATTAGCTCTTATATTTAGGTCATTGATCTATTTTGAGCTAATTTTTGTGTATGTCATAAAGTATAGGTCTGTCTTCATTCTTTCCATGTAGTCATCTAGTTGTCCCAGCACCTTTTTGTTGAAGAGACCACTCTTTCCTCGCTGAATGGACTTGGCACCCTTGTGAAAAAACAATTGGCCATATGTATTTATTTCTGGACTCTCAATTTTATTCACTTGGTCTATATGGCTATCCTTATACCAGTGCTGCATTTTAAAAAAATTTTTTTGAATGATATATATTTTTATATCCATTCTATATCATTATATTTGAAATTAGTTTCTTATATTTTTTAATCTACTCTGCCAATTGTTTGTCTTTAAAGTAGTATATTTAGATCTTTAAATTTAACATAATTTTTGATATATTAGGGCTTAAATCTACCATTTTATTTTTTGTTTTCTGCTTGTTCTGTTTTTGTTTCTCTTATTTCCTTTTTTCTGCCTTCATGTGTTTACTTGATCATATCCTAGAATTCCATTTTGAGTTATGTATGTATATTGCTTTTGAGTGTATCTCTTTGTATATCTTTTGTAGTGTTTTCTCTAGGTATTACATTATGTATATGTATATAACTTATCACAGAGACCATTTTGTCTGGCTGCTTTCAAGATTATTAATTTTTTCTTTTTTTTTGTCTGTAGTGTTCAGAAGTTTAATTGTGATGTGTCTCTGTGGAGATTTCTTTGGGTTTATCCTGGTTGGGATTTGCTCAGCTTTTTGAAAATGTAGATTTAATGCCTATTGCCAAATTTTGATAGCTTTTGGCTATTATCTCTTTGAGTGCTTTTTACATCCCTGTACTCCCTCTGCTCTTTCGCTAGGACTCCAGTGACATAAAAGGTAGATCCTTTGTTATAGTCTCACAGGTCCCTGAGGCTCTGTTGATTTTCCCTGGTCTATTTTTGCTCTGTTGTTCAGATAGGGTAATTTCTGTTGTTATATTTTCTAGTTCATTGACTCTTTCCTCTGTGCCCTCCATTTTCACGTTCAGCCCATTCACTGAGCTTTTTATTTCAGTTATTGTATTTTTCAGTTTTAAAATTTGCTGTTTGTTTTTCT